GTGTTTGTGGTGGTGTATATGTGTGTGTGTGTGTGGTGTGTGTGTGGTGTGTGTGTGTGGTGTGTATGTGTGTGTATGTGTGTGTGTTGTGTGTGTTGTGTGTGTGTGGTGTGTGTGTGGTGTGTGAGTTGTGGTATGTATGTGTGTGTATGTGTGTGTGTGGTGTGTGTGTGTGTGGTGTGTATGTGTGTGTATGTGTGTGTGGTGTGTGTGGTGTATGTGGTGGGTGAGCATGTGCGCAGAGCTAGGGGAGAGAGTCAGGTATTCTTATCATTCTCTGTTTATATATCAAGGGACTCTCCTTGAACCTGGGGCTTGTTTTCTTGGCTAGGCTGGATGCTGACAGTCACCAGCAATCTTTTGGAGCTAGGGTTAGAGCCGGCTTAGGATGCTCAGCTTGTTATGTGGGTGCTGTGATCCCTAGTCCAGTCCTCATGACCATAGCAAATGCTCTCAACACTGAACCATGTTTTCAGTATCCATATATTATTTTGTAAAACATTTAAAACATATAGAGAAAACAGCTAGCATTCCACATCGGAAGAGTGGAATCACACACTTATATACCTTGTATGTGTTTAAATTTCTTCCTTTATATGGTTCTATACTTGAAGGTTCTGTGGATTTAACTGACTATGGACAGAAAACATTAGAAGAAAAAGTCTATACTAAATACATACAAAATTTCCTTGTCGTTAGTCCTTAAACAACACAATATAACAACTATTCATTTAACATTTATATTATATTATGAATTGTCAGGACATGAGCAAATATGCTATTTTATATTAGGGACTCCAGCAGCCATGAATGTTGGTATGTGACAGGGACTTGGAACCAGTGCCCCACAGATACTGTGGTGTGACTACATATAAGTATATACAGTATAAGAATATACAATATTATATATATATACACACACACATATATATAATACATATATATACATAATATATATATAATTATTATATACATATATATTTATACATATATGTATATAAATACACACACATGTATAATATAATCACACACATATACTTATACATAATATAGTTATATTCTATACACATATACAACAATACAAGATACTGTCCCTTTTGTTGATTAGTAACTTGCTTTTCATTTAATCAGAAATCTCAATATCATTCTACAGTAATAGTTAATGGTTACATAATATTCTATTGTGAGAACATAGTTTTTTTTTCATATCTGCTCCCTGTAGCAAGACATGGAGATTATTTCCAGTTATTTTTAACCTTAAACAATTGTGCATAGACTTCTTTGTAGATATTTTTTGTTTACTTGTCTGATTATCTCAAGATAACCCCCAAGAAATGAAATTTCTGGCCTGTAGGGGACATACATTTTGGATGAGGGTGAAGGCTTTTGATACATATCTTTACACATTCTACTCTGAGTTTAACCTTAGTTCCACTGTGTGGTGCTTTGCTGACTTTAGAGAGAGTTGACTGGCAGACACTAATGGTTCTTTCCGTCCATGTCCCCTCTACTCCTCTCTGTTAACAGTGTTAGCTTATGGCAGATAAACCCTGATGTATGAACACTCATTTTGCCACACCCTCCTCATCCCACCTCGAGGAGGGCCTTTCTCCACTCCTGACAAGGGACAGCGTTTATACTCAGGAAGTGATTTTTCACATCTCTCCAAGCAAGTGCTCCTTTTTATTTGTTTCTACATTATTACAGATGCCTGCTGTTTCTCAAGCATTTTAATGTTGTGTTTTGTTTAAATAAAAATTTTCAAGGAGAGCCAATGTCATATAAAGCAAGCAAAAACCAGTTGATGGAGGTATGGAAGTACAGGAAGGGACTCTGAGGAACCCTAGGAGTCTGTAGCATTTGTTCTGTGTTTCCCTTTGGAAGCAGAAACCCAGCCCAGGCTCCTTTTATCATACCTGGGGGCCTAGCAAACTGCCGTTTCACCTGCAGAGGACAAGCTGCTTAAAAGTCACTAGCAGCAAGCACATAATGGGGACTGATTTTGTTGTTATTGTTGGTTTGTTTGTTTTTCTTTTTTTCAAATTCATCCATGTAGATAAGTGACCTTTCCTATATAGGCCACACAAAGGCAGGCAAAGTTCCCATATGAGTACACTCTGAAAACCAAAATGGGTGCTTACTTGTACATGGAATCAGGGTTTCTATTTTGAGTCTTCAGATTGCTGGTAAATTCCAAAACAAGTTCAGTACGTTTCCTTGTCCCAGACTTAGAACATTACCACTTGAGTGTGGCAAGGGGCCAACAGCGACTGATAGTGTCGTTAAACTGGAAAATGTGTCAGGCTAGGCCTGGCTTAGGCAAAATCCCCATACCGACTTTCATTTTGAAATGTGTATGTGTGTTTGCATGTGTGGGCATACAAGTACGTGTGGTTGTGCATGTATGCATGTGTGAATGCATGTACAGGACCAACATGGATGTGAAGAGTCTTCCTGGGATATGCCCAACTGTGTTCATTGAGGCAGTCTCCAGTTAGGCTGGCTGGTCGGTCAGCTTGCTCGATGTGCCTGTCCAGTGCTTCCATCCGAGGGCCTGCATTCCTGTCCTCCTCCTTATGTGGCAAGCATTTTACCTGCCAAGCCATCTCCCTAGTGTTCCCTGTGCTGTTTGACTTTACTTATTTGTTTTGTTCTTTAAAGACATGATCATACTATATAGCTCAAGTTGTCCTAAATCTTGTGCTCCTCCTGCTTCTGGCTCCTGAGTGCTGTGATTATCGGCATTTGTGCCACTATGTCTGACCTCTGCTGTGAAATTTTTTTAAAGAGTAATTATATCAGGAGTAGGAGGCCTTGGGCTGGCTTCAGAGATCACTATTTTACAGTCACTAAAATAATATCCTTAGTTTATAGTCAGAAAATGATGAACCTAAAAAACGACTGCGGGTGCTTAAGGTCACAAGGTGGAGAAGCCGGGACTTGACTCTACAGCTTCCTGGCTATAATCCCAGGGCTGATGATTGGCTGTGTGACCATGGGGACCACATTACCAATGAAATGATGGGTCTTCCTCACTGGCCTCCTTCTCCCAAAGACAGCCATTTATTAGGTATTGGCTGTCCTTTCAGAGTGGCTAGTCTCTATGGAGGATGCCTCCTGACACACGGGGAGTCCAGGAATGTGCTACCTTGTGATGCCAATGAAAGGGGGAGGCATCTATATTAACAGCTTCTGCAGTACAAAAAGTGCCTCCTCATTCATCCCCAATACTGAATCAGCCCTAGGATTCACATTTACTTCCTGGAATATGATGTTGTTTCTCCAAACAACAACAACAACAACAATAACAACAACAATAACAACACCAATGATGGTAAGCTTGGTCTGGGAAGAGCACCTTTGGTCTGCAGATCTCCAAGCATGCTGCCAATGTGGTCCAGTGGGTAGTGTTATTATCTCCTTTTTACAGATGGAGAAAATGAGGCACAAGAAGTTTAAGTTGGGGGTTCAAGGTCATGTGGGGCATCATTAATGGGGCCATGTGAAGAACTCGATTGTTAGTGCTGAAATAAAAGCTCTAGGCACTTAACAGGCTGTTGGTTGGTTATGCCTGTCTTTATGAGGACCTATATTTTTATAAACCATGCCATAAAAGTGAATACTGATCATTAGATTTCATTTCAAACACATCATTCACAGTCTTAGATGCTGCAAGAATGTGCCAGACACTCCCCTGTTCTGAGTAGTTGGATGCACGCACATCCTCTTTAGTATTCAGATAGGTCCCCAGTGGTTCAGGAAGTGACTCTAATCTATACTGAGTCTCAAAGCTGGCATTAGATGCTTGGACTCTGGTGAGAGTCCCAGGAAATCTCTATATGTTGGTTTATCAGTCGCCTGTCTTTCCTGGCAGGACCACCTTGGAGAAGAAACTTTATTTTACTTCCTCTATTTCGTCAATTATAATGAGAACAATTGGCATGAACTCTTTGTTATAGTTTTAAAGACAAGTTATGATGTTGCAAAAATTCACCTGACCACCCCCTAATGCACACACATTATGGAGGTCTCAGAGATGTTGCCTTGTGCTGGTTTTGAGTGTTTGGAAGGCTCTATGCCTTTTTAATATTGTTCCTGTGTTATCTCTAAAAGGGTGTGAGCTTTGGAAGGAAGCAGGCACCTCTGGAGATGCTTCATACAGACAGGGATCCAGCTCAGGACAGTGGGAGCTCACAGAACTGTTGGCTGGGTTGCAGAAATGGAGACCCAGAGGAGGTCATTGTGTTATTTTCAAGTCATCCCACTGCAACTGAGATCTGGACCCCAGGAAGTTGCTGGCCTGATTCCATTATTACAAGGTCATTTGGTAGCCATGAAGCTGGAGACTGGCTAGATTGGGGAATCTGGTTGCTAAAGTGCTCCTTGAACAGCCACATCTCTAAGCTACCATAGTCAAGGCATTAACCTGGGGAAAAACTAATTTTCTTCTAGAATCACACATGTCAGGGTGTCTGAAAAATATCATTTTTTTTCTGGCTACTGATTTATAGAAATAAGAAATTACAATCAACAGTCCCATGTAGTATACACACGATGCTGATGCTACCGTCCATAGTGTATTAGTCAGGATGTGTTCCTCTATGATGCAGTAATAAGTAGCCCTAAAATTTCAGTGGCTTAATACAGGCAATGTTGGTTTATTAGTCACCAAATATCTGATGCAGGCTGGAGGACCTTCCTCCTTGTTGTAGGTGTTGGTCATTTAGAACAATTGAACAAGACATCAAGACAGAGCAAGAAGAAGATGAAAGAGGCATGCCATTCCCTAGCCTACCCTAAAGGCAGGCAAAGAAATGAAGCTGGGGTGGAGATATGGTGCAAATATTTGTTTGATATTTGATGTTTCTGTCATTCTTAGTCAAAAGAGGTGGTGCTTTGGTCCCCAGCAAGTCATGTCCCCATTCACTCTCCTTTCATGTCTCCAAATGACCCAGTGGACATGGATTTTAGGGCTCCTTGAATGCTAATCAAAACACATTGTATATTCCAAGATTTTCAGCCTTAACAGAGATATCAGTGTGGTATCCCTGGGGAATAAGCAAAGATTTCCTTCTCTATAAATCACTCTTTCTCTGGCATATTCCAGCACCCGAAGTTTCCATTATTAATATTAATCACCCCTTAAGAGCTACTCTAAGGATCTTTTGTCAATTAAACAGCAAACTAGGCTGGACTATGGTAGTCCAGTTCATGGACTATCAAGGGTGGCCAGTTAGCTGAAGGTGTGTGCTTGGGGGTGGAGGAGGGAAAATGCATATCAGTGGATGCTTTGGATGGAACTAGGCTCCTGAGAATGTAGGTCAGGGGGCTGGCAGGGTGCAGTCAGGGCACCCTAAGGAAGAGAATTCGAAGGCTCCAGGCAGCTTCTCCAAATCACACCCTTGCCAGGACTCCAAACTGCTGAACCCATCAGGGAGTTATATCCTCCCACACCTATATGAAATGATGTCACAGATCTCTTTGGATGGACCTGGCATTTGGAAGGCACATGCAGAAAGATCCATCCCATAGAGAGTGAAGAGAAGTGAGCCTAAGTAAGCAGAGTTGGGATATTCTTCCCAGGCTAGAGGCCATTTGCTCTGGACTTGGACTTGGAAGGTGGATTTTAAATCCTGACTCTGCTACCTACGCACTGGACTCCTATGGACTTGTAAAATGCAGCTTGAGCAAGTAGCATAATAATTTTCACCCCTGCTGCTAGTATTGAAAGAGGCAATGCATACATGTAGGGGATTTGGGTCTGAGCTCTGCTCCCCTTTCTGCTCCCTGCCCACATTCTCTTAAATAAAATGTGTGGACTTGATCTGTCTCTGGAGTCCTAAGCTTTCATGGGCAAATGCATGATGGGCTCTTTCTGGGAGGTAGGGGTGTAATGCAGACTTCAAACTTACGCTTCTTCCCTAGGCTGAGGATGCCACAGACACCTTTGTCATTAACTAGTTTGTGTGCTTAAAATCTCTCATGATTTACACAAGCCACAAATCCTTCCATTTGCCTTGAGTGTGCTCACAGGTAAAGCTGGGACTGTTCCTGCTAGCTGCTGGTTATTATCCCAGCACCAGCACTTCTGCTTCTTGGCTGTGTGCCTTGGGCAAGTTACTCACCTTCTCTGAGACTGTTTCCTCATCATAAAATACAGATAAAAGAGCTTCTACCTCATCGAGTGCTCAAGATGAAAGGAGCTGAGCAATACGCAATACTGAGTATTTGGAATATAGTAAGGACTCGAAGCTGTGTTTGCATACAGTTTTGGATCTGCCCAGCGCCCCTATGAAGATGAGCAGGCTCAGACAGGCAGGGCCAGAAAATGATGTTGCTGGGATCTGAACGCAGACATCACCCTTTCTCTGACCTGGGCTGACTGCCGCAGGAGTTGTAAATTTTATCTTTTGTCCTTTTCCCATCTCTATGTCCTCCATACCTTCTAACATCCATAGGATTTTTCAACATTGGCCTGGATGGTATAGAGTGCTGAGTGCACACTTATCCTTGGTCCTTCTGAGTTAGCTCAGGTTGGTTTGCTCTGCTCAGTACTCTATCCATGTGCCTTACAACTTCCTATTGCCAGCAGAGGCTTGCATTCGTCCTCTGAGGACAAGGGCTGCCTGCTCTATTCCCAGAATGCCCTTGGGCAGCCAGAGGGCAGAACTACCAGGTGTGCCCTCAGCCTGACAGCCATCTTTCTGGGTGTTAACAAAGAGTAATTAAGTCATCTCATAAAACTCAGTGGTGGAAGCTGAGGTTGTGGTTCAGAGCAGTCTGGGTCAATGCCAAGGCTGCCTAGCTTCATCCAGTCCACACCCCTCATGGGTCTTGACGCCTAGGCCTACTGTGGGTGAATGAGAACCGATCCAAGAAGGCTTGGGTATGAATCTTCCTCCTCCTTTCCTAGTTGGGTGACCCTAGGCAAGCAACTTAATCTCTGGGGCAGTTGTTTCATCATTTAAAAATGGTGATCATAATCTTCCTTTGCCTTGAGGTTGTTGAGCAGCTTAAATGCCCTAATGATCTGAAGGCCTTCTGTATGATATGCCATTGTTGGTCCAGATAGTGTTTTATGGTCAATAGGATAGAAGCTGGCAGAGTAGTAGGGCTGGGACTGAGGCCTGGAGTCATCCCATTCCCCAACTCCAGCTCTCCTCTCATCCCAAACCACTTCTCAGGGCACACTGGACTTGAACCCAGTATATGCTACCATTTTTCCTTCTTTTCTTTCTTCTTTCTAACTCTGAGTTGTAATTGTGGAAGTCCAGGGACAGGGGACATCAGAAGACATCACAAATGGGTATTTGAAGAAAGCCCATAGTCCTCTTGGAAGGTCATCCTGCTGAGATGTGGAAGTGGGGTGAGTGCAAGTAAGTGCCTCAAGCTTCCCATGCCTCATTTTGCCTCCTGTCAGTCTGGCATCACAGTTCGTGTCCTGTACAAGGGTCATACAGGGCAACTGAGATGACGTAGGTAGGCAGTATGTGATAACCATGGAGATAGCCATAAATAACTAGTCTTCTCTGAATAGCAGTTAGCCTTCCAGGAAATCAGACCAACCTAGGTGCTCTGGGAGCCATCTGTGGCCATTGCTCTCTAGGAGCCTTTTATCCTCATTCATTTGATTTCTTCTGTACACAATCTCAAGAGTGATTTTTACCCAATACCACCCTATCTGTGCCACCTCAGGAGTTGCACAAGAATAGCCCTCAGTACTTTTTCTCTAGGTGCTTGTGATTTTGAACATCTTCTAATTGATGCTTATAGAGGACTGGGGGAAGCAAGAGCACTTTCATGTCTGAGAACTCAGAGAGGTGTACTCAGAATTTTTTCCAAGCATGGGAGCAGGAGCTTGACTCCAGCTCTCATAATGCCGAGAGTCCAATGAGCAAATCGGGTCGGAGAATTCAGGGGAAGAGGGCTCTGATCTGTAAGAGGAGGTTAGACAGTCCAGTGCCTCCAGAGGATGTGCAGGCTGCTAGATCCGATGCCAGGAGTATGGGTCTAGGTTCTGTCACTTTGAGGAGGTCCCTGTTAATTCTTGGGCCTCTATTTCCTCATATTGAAATAGGAAATTTTCATATTGTTTCCTATGGGCTATTTAGCTCTGGATTTTTTGTTTATTTTTGGTTTTGTGGGTCTTTGAGAGTCTATCCCATCTTTGATAAAACACTCCTTGACTTGGCCAACTTAGAAGAACTCCCAGAAGAAGATCTCGCTGTATATAGAGAGGACTGAAAGTTATCCTATGAGACTAGGTGGAAAACAAATTATTATCACTCCTCCCTACACACACACACACACACACACACACACACACACACACACACACACACTGCAGGTACATAGCTATAGATGACGAGAGTAGATCTGGATTCCCAGGGAAGCTCAGGGGTCTAAAGGATGTGTTGTAGATGATTGACGATGACTCTGGCCCATTTTGATGCGGATGTAACAGCTTCCTCAGGAAAGCATTTCCCCATAAGTATTTCAGTGAGTGGTAGATATTTGTGAACAAACTACAGTAATCGTGTTTGGTCCTTATTGAGATCTGGCTGAGGAAGATGTGAAGAGAGTAATTTTGGTAAGAAGTACACAAACACAGACAGGAGTCAGCAGAAGCATCAACGGTCAAACTTGGCTCAAGAAGGAAGGAGGGAAGGAAAGACAGAATTCTGGTGTTTCTCCATCTTTTTATGCATCTCTGGCCTCTGCTGAGACCCTCCACTGGCTCTAACTGAAGCCAGACAACCAAAAGAGGCTAGCAATGCATCTTGAGGGGTCAGCCTCTTGAAACATAGAGTACAGGTCAGGACTGGTCTTCTGAAGGAAATGGCAGAAATGGAAAGCAAAGAGTAGTCCATGGTGAGGAAGAGTCTCCTCAGGCTCTTGGGATTACCCAGAACCTGGGGAACCCAGGTACAGGTCCCCTGTGAACAGTTACTTAAGCTGTGTGCCAAATTCTTTCTTCCTCTTTTCTTGGTCATCAGTGAAGGAACCATGTACCAAAAGGGCTGACTTGGAGGAGGAATACCCACATCTACTTGGGAGGAGAGAAGAAACTATAGTCCTTTGGCTTTCTTTCCCCCAGAGAGGAGGGGCCAGACCCTCTCTTGATAGCCAAGTCTGTTGTTTGCATCTGTGGAAGGGAGAGCTGAGCTTTGAAGGTCTATTGCATGTTGAGCATGAGGCAGGCTCTGTGTTTATTTTGCCTCTTTTAATCCTTTGGTGATTAACACATGGAAATGAACAATTCCAGAGCCAGCTGTCTTTAGAGGGTGTAGACAGTGCTGGCTGTAACAAACCTGGGACGCTAACAAAGCTTGACTTCAAAGCGGATTCCAAGCACACAGATAGCTCTCCTATCAAGATGCAATAGAACTGCTGGGGAGTTACTTCAGTGCAGGTGAACTTACCCTTTGCCCCTCCCAGGAGATTCTATGTTTTTCAAGGTGAGCAGAGTGGGTGGTGCT